GGCTGCACTCGCCAGCGGCCGCCTGGTAGCGCGGCGCCAGGGTGGTTAGCGCTCGACTGAGCCACTCACAGCGGCTCAGCGGCGGCGGCGGGCCGTCCGAGGGATCGGCCGCCGGTGAGGGGGTCCCCGTCCCTTCGGCCGGGGCAGACTCGGTTGGCGCGCAGGTCCCGCCGTTCGGCGCAGACTGGAGTTCGCCGCCGTCCGCCACCCCTGCCGTTGAGCTCTGGCCGTTCGCCACTGCCTCCGTCGGCACACCGCCCGGCACCTCACCGGGTGACGGCGACTGGCCCTCCCGCGGGGCCTCCTCGGCTGCCCTTCCGCAGTGACCGTTCGGAGCGCCCAGACTGTTCTCACGCGCCTCCACAGCCTCTCCGCAGTTCTCCGCCGGCACAGAGCTCTGCTTCTCCCCCACCTGGTCCGCTCCCGCCGTCTCCGGCGCACCGTTCGGGGCTTTGTCAGCACTCTCCCCGACCAGTGGCACCAGCCCGGCCGGCGCCGAGTCCGCCTCCACCGGTGACGACGGCCGGCCGTACACCGTCAGCGGGCCCGGCTCGTCCCCACACGAGTCCGCAGCGGCCGCGGCGCCGGCGCTGTCCACAATCAGCGCGCTGAGCCGCTCCGAGAGCTCCTCCGCGGCCAGGTCGGCCGGCGGGTCGGGGCTGACCGAGGCAGGCGGCTCGTCAGCCGGCGGGTCGGGGCTGACCGAGGCGGGCGGCTCGTCAGCCGGCGGGTCCGGACTGACTGAGGCCGGCGGTTCGTTCAGCTCGTCTTCCGTCGAATCCCCACTGACCGAGGCCGGCAGCGGGTCGAGCTCCGATAGCAGGCTGAAGATGATATCTTCGGCGGCGGGCAGCGAGAGGTCGAGGAAGGGCTCCATGCGGTGTGTGCAGGCCATGCAGGCCTGACACACCACCAGGCTGACCAGCTGGCCGCTGAAGATGGAGTCGATGGTCGTATGCGATACCTGGTGGCCCAGTGCCTTGGCACGCGCCTTCATGTCGTCGGGTACTTCCTTGGGGTCGGCCTGGGCCGGCAGCCCCAGACCGAGCAGGATCTGCTTCTGGTGCCGCCGGAGATCCTCAAGCCGCGCCTGCTCCATGAGCGCTCGCAGCAGCTCGTGTGCGTCCTGCTGGTCGCAGCCCACAAACTGGTGCACCTTCAGGGCGATCTTTCTGAGCAGATGACAGATAGATAAGCAGATGACATATAGATAAGTTGTTTTTAGTTGAAACATATAGCCAACAGCACATTGCAATGGGCTATAGATTATCAAGCTCATGAAGCATCATAGGTTAAGTGGTTGTGTATCTGGCTTTAGGCCGAAGGCCTGAAGCCTGATGCGCATCGCATGCCTACACAAGCCCTTGCAAGGGGTTAAGAAAGATGGGTAGGTAGGTACCTACATCAACAGAAAACATAAACAATGAGCCAGAATAGAAGCACTAGCAATGTAGACATCTAATGCCAAATCCTGAAACATGGTTGTGGGACAGAACAGACCCTGATGCTTTTCATTATCAATGTTAGGTATGGAAAATGAAACTGAAGTTGATGGACTGTCAAACAGTGATTGTCTAGTCAAAACTCTTGCTTCTTTCTTACCTTGCATATTTTCTGGGGTGTGATATGCCAGGCTTGAAGCAGCCTTCTGAGCAAGTCTCAAACTAATTTGATATGCAAGGCATCAAAACACTAGTGAGCATCCAAGAAAGAAAAACATTCATCTATTTTGATTTTTTGTGGTCAAAGTTCCTTTCCACCTAGCTTTGGGGGTGTCACAGGAGCTGCGAACGTAGCGAATATGTGGGCCGATCATTTCAAAACTGTTCTAAATGACGATAGCTGCAGCAGTGGTCAAGCAATTATCAACCATATCATCAATGATCGGCTGCCTGATGTTCTCCCCATTACCAGGGAGGAAGTGTCGAGTGCTATAGCCAAAATGAAAGGTGGAAAAGCTGCAGGCTGGGATCAGATGTACAGTGAACATCTGCGTTATCTTGAAGCTGATAACTTATATGTCATAGTCTCCATATTTAACAGCATACTGAACCATGGAAACGTCCCTGATGATCTCATTTATTCACTGTTGACGCCATTAATTAAGGATAAAAGTGGTGCACTTGATGATAAATCGAACTATAGGGCAATCGCTTTATCCACAACTTTATCAAAAGTCTTGGAACTTATTCTGGTTGACAGGCTTCTACCGCTATTAAGAACAAATGATGCGCAATTTGGATTTAAGTCTAATCATTCAACAACGCATGCTACATATGTTCTTAAAGAAACAGTTCACTATTACACTAGACAAGGAAGCCCAGTGTACGCCTGCTTCCTTGATGCAAGCAAAGCATTCGATAGAGTGAATCACGCTAAGCTCTTTCAAATACTCCAAGAAAGGGGTGTTCCGTTACCATATCTGAAACTGTTAACTCATTGGTACAGGTCCCAGATGATGAGCGTCAAATGGGCAAATAGCACATCCTATTCATTTCCGGTCGCAAACGGTGTTCGCCAGGGTGGATGCTTGTCACCATTATTGTTCAATGTATACCTGGACGATCTCCTTCAAATGTTACAATCTACTGGCATAGGATGTCACGTTGGTGGCTGTGCTGTAAATGTGCTGGCGTACGCTGACGATATTGTTGTCTTGTCGCCATCAAGGGGTGGTTTACAAGAGCTTGTCAAAATATGTGAATCGTTTGCTGTGTCCAGGGACATACAATTCAATGCTAAGAAGAGTGTATGCATGGTGTTTAATCCCCAGCGTCCAAGTGCATCTTCGCATCTGTCCATGTCACAACCCCCAATTGTGAGGTTGTCAGGTACCAACCTAACATGGGTTGATGAGTTTAAGTATCTTGGGCATGTGATTAACAGCAAACTGAATGATAGCAGCGACATGCGTAAGCTGAAGAGATCGCTATACTATCGTGCTAATATGCTTTGCGCGTTGGTAGGCCATGCTAAAAGAGAAATTCTGATAAAGCTGTTTAAGTCCTACTGCGCGAACCTGTATGGGTGTGAGCTGTGGGATCCATGTAAAGAAAAAAATGTGTTTCGTGAACTGTGTGTGGCGTATCACTCATGTGTGAAGAAAATAGTCAAACTACCGAAATCATTCAGGAACCATCCTCTCTGTCTAGCTCTTCAAATTCTCCCCTGTCCTATGCTAGTAGCAAGCAGACAGCTTCTGTTCTATAAAATACTCCACAGTAGTGAAAATGTGTTGATAAAGAGCTTGCTTGACAGTGACATTGGACAAAATGGTATAGCAGCGAGCGTGCATCTTGCCATCCGACGTGAATATGATATCATGGCCTTAGACTTGTCTTCCTCCTCTCGTGCAGACATTTTGAATATTTTCTTAGGTAGTCTGAAAAGAATGGTCAATCAAAATCCGACATATCATGCTCATGTGAGAAGTGTCATTACAGACAATGTATGAAGCTGAGACGAGCTTCCTCTTGATCGATGTGCGTGCTTGCACTGATTTTAACGTTCTGAATATGAATATCTTGATGTGTGTGTGTGTGTGTGTTTGTGTATGTATGGATGTAATGATTGTGTTAGCTGTCACTGGAACTTCCTGTATGCACCAATGATGGTGTGAAAATAAATGGCATTATTATTATTATTATTTTTCCAAATAATGATCTTCGCTCAAATCCCCAAGGACGTGCGAGCCACAATTGCCTCTTTCAATCAAAAATTTTACTTGAGTTTTTAATTACGTCAATAGCAAAAAAGTGGCAATAAATTGCTTTGTGTTACTATTAACAGCCATATAAATTGTAATTAATAAATACTAATGCTATACAGTTAAAAACTTGCTCTCAAACAAAGATTAATTATCAAATTTTTTACATTTTCAGAAGAAGACGTCATTTTATTAGTAAAGTCAACAGCTCGCGTAAGAAATATTGTGTTCAGGGTTTTCACCGTCATGTGAATTACGTGTTCAGGGTTTTCACCATCATGTGAATTAACCGTAAGTAAAGGTTCATGCTCACTTATAATCTAATTCCATTGGCTTCGTTGATCAGCATTTTCTGTTAGCGGTCACTCACACACCAGTTAGAACATAAAGCGCCAGTTTTATATTATGTAATTGGACTTGCCGAAAATCCAGAAACACATCTAAGAGTTATTTTAGATAATATTTTATGAAGCCTTTACCTGCCTTTACCATAGGCGTGATTTCTTTTTCTATTACCTGAAAGAATTATTGAACGCTCGTCTTCAATAGCTGTAAGGTGCTCTCCTAATGACCAGGTGAGATTGATTTGAGAGGGATGTGACAATGCAACATGTTGCATTTTCTGAAACTGTCAAGCTCTTGATGATGAAGGAACAATTGGTACCTATAATTAGTATTCTGTACCAGAGTGCAAACTCCCCTACAGCAAATGATAAAACATTACAGGTTTTCAAAGGCTTCACCACTTTCAATGCTTCTGGGCAATGGGCATCCTTTGCATGATTTTTACAGGCTAGACTGCTTATCAGAATGTAACATTAAGGATTTAAAATTTTATATTTTAGTACTTAAGATTGAGCTTGAAATCTCACAGCCGTGGCCACAGCCGTAGCCGTGTTCTTGGAGATATTTGCAGCCGCCCCGGCCCACAGCCGTGGGGCTGCAGCCAGCCACGGCTGCAGCCGGCCGGTGCAGACCTCTACAGACATGATCAATGGTCAGTGCGAGATGCCAGCGGATTTTCTATTTGTGCTGAGGAGGCATACCATCGATGTTTGTGGGTGGGGAGCTCGTCCCCATATTGTATGGTAAAAGAGTGGCCGATATCGGGGGTAAGTAAGCTGCATTCGGTTGCACTGCACAAATGTCAGCGCACGCTTTCTGAATTCTGTACAGTTCAAAAACAGGTGGATTTGCAAAATTTTAACAGCAAAGTGTCTCATACAAAACCACAGTATGGCCCACCTCTGAAACACGTTTAGCCACATCTCTTCGATCACGTATCTGTACTCACTGTAGACGACGAGCTCGAAGGCCTTGGTGACCTCCTGGTTGGTGGCGTAGCGCGCCTTGCACGTGTAAATGCCCGAGTCCTGCTCCTGTATCGGCGATATGAACAGCTCGCGGCCGTTGCTTGGCACGAACTGGCCCGTGTATATTCTGTCGGAGCGCCACACACGCAGGTCAATGCGGGTCACAGAGGTCAACCATCACAGGTCAATGCGGGTCAGAGGTCAACCATTACAAGTTAACATACAGGGTGTAACGAAATTATCCGGACATCTATTTTTTCGCCATATCTGCTCGCACAGTTTCTTTTTTAATGTTAGAAGCTGGAACACTGGATGAATGCATACCTCTGGTATCTGCTCTCAACTCGGCAGTGACCTGACCTTGCGAAATGACTCTTGCTCTGAGTAAGAGTCGAGTCGCCCACGGGTTCATTTGATAGTTTTCGTTTAAGGCAGTGGAGAGAAGGGAGTACAGTCTCTCGTTTCGTAGCAAGGCTACGTGTTGGTGGCATGGTGGCATGAGCCAGAAGCTGGTCTGTCAGCAGCTGGACATCAGCAGCAGCCAGTAGCACATCTGCCTGAGGCGTAATAGGCTGGGACTTGGTGGCAGACTCAGCCCGGCCTCGATCGCAAAAGGCGCCCTTTGCCAAGTGGTGAGGAGAGTTGTCAAGATAGCGACAAGGAAACGGCACCAATCGATCCGCACACTGACTCGAATTATTACCAAGGTATATAATAAGAGGTCCCACATCATGATTCACCGTTACCCGCCCTTTAGCTTGGTTTTACTGCCCTTAAAACTGAAAAAGACAATAAAATTGAAGGGAAAACAACCAGTCCACCACCTTTGGCCTCAGGCCAGGGCCTTTCTACTGGTCGAAGGAAGGCATGAATGAGGTGGCCTGGTCGGATGGGAAGCTGTTTGAGCTGCGATATCCGTTGAGCCGTCAAATCGGCCATGTGTGGGCTGCCAGCAGCTCGAACGTGCCGGCCGTCGCCGGCGTCAAACATCCGGCCAAAATCCAGACCTGGAGCATGTTCAGCTGCTGTGTAATATTCAAGCTGTTCATGACGCCACATAAAACCACTATCAGTGACGAGTATTACTGGCGCAACATCCTGGCCAGCGATTGGTTGAAGCCACTCAACCAGACGGCACAGGATGGCTCGGTTTCTGAACGTGTACCGATGCCTGATTCAAGCCGCGCAGTCTTCATACGGGGCGGCGCACCACCTTCAAGTCCCTAGCAGAATGAGAAGTGATGCCGAGAGGACCTATTTTTCTTCTGGGCTAACGGACTATGGCTTGGAAATAGTTCCCATGCAATTCCATCGATATCTTATGGACTATTGTCCAGCAGGAGATGAATGAGGGGACACCCGCCACCAGCGCCGCCCAACTGTGGGCACAGGTTAGTAAGGCGCTACTCTAAATGAAACCCACTGTGCTGGAAAACTCAGTGGCTGGAATGCTCCAAAAATTTGTACCTGCACTCTTATGAAAGGTGGCTATATGATAATTCAAAAGGGAAAATATCAGATTGTCTTGCTTCTTAATTACAGTGCAAATAAAGATGTCCGGATAATTTCGTTACACCCTGTAGTCACGTGGAACATGTCACCAGGTCACAATTCAACTGGTGCAGGTCACCATGTCACTGAGGGCAGCACTGATGAATAGCACGAGGTAGAAGGACTGAAACGAAGCACGTTGAATGACGCAGGTCACGAGGTCAGAGAGGTCTATTGACGCACGTCATAAGGTCACAGGTCAAAAGACCATTCAATGGATTAAACCAGTTAAACCAGGTCAAACATCCACTGAAGCAGGCTGCAAATGGATACATTAGTGTATTTTGATGGACTAATTTGAAAGAGAAGGCTGCCCAATTTAAATCAAGAGGACATTTAGCACTAAATGGCGGAAATGCTTATGTTCAAACATTGTAATTCTTTTGTAATTCTTTTTTAAATAGAGCGGCTACATTTTTATTATTCAACATAGCTGCTAGCTACGAAAATAGAACGATGGAAGCGGAAACGGCAACATCACTAATCCGAAACATAAAATAAAGCAAAAATGCAGCAGATGAGGAAGCCAGAATAGCTGCAGCTGATCTATTAATATTGTTTCATAATGTATGACGCCAACTATATATATATTTTTGAATAAAGTACAGGACCTAGATGGCAAAGACCATGAATTATTCAGTGATTCCTAAATTTTCAATCGAACAACAAACCATATCAGATAAAGCTTATGCAGTACCTATGCACTGGCAAACTACATATATGACACTTATTAAAGACACAACCTACGACGACAAATTGTACAAACAATATCAACTACGTCTCTGTAGAATTGCATCGAAAGAATTTCGATATACACCGAACCAAAATGTCTGAGCTCTACAAACGACCCTCAGGATGCATTCCCAGGACTCGATGCCGGCTAACATCACATCAAAATGCATCAAATCAAAGCAATCTAATTGGCAATCAGCGAAAGCCAGACCGATTCATGTTGGACTAGCGCAAACATTGGTACTGGACGAGTGCATGCTGTCACAATCCATCATTCCGGGCGCGATGAATCACTGAGGTCAACGGGCGCTCGGCTGAACATCGGGCCTTACGCTACAGATGGGATGCATTGGTCGGGCATTACAGATGGGATGCATTGATGGGCAGGTCAGTAACGGGAGTCAGAAGGCTCTGCAGCTAATTGCACTGATTCAAACTCAATAGATTAGCCTGTTTTTTTTTTTATATCGCTAAGAATACGTACTCATCACAGCAAATACAAACCATAAGTTCGGCATAAGTCGCATTCTTTGATTGCAACATTAAAAGACAAATACAGAATGTGAAACAAAACATTCACAAGACGCGGACCAATCAATAACCAACACAAAAACCATCACCTCCCACCATCTGACGAACCATCACCATTCTACACACGACAAACAAACACAAACACAAACACAAATACAACACGGAGAGGCCTGCACGGAGACGCCCGACACCTGCGGCCCCACCGCCGCGCCGCGCTGGGGTCACGACCCCGCGACCCCGCGGTCAGGCAGACAGCTGCCCCCTGCAACCGTCAGCGTGGCCCCGCCCCTCGCACCAGGCAGCGGAGCAGAGTGGTAAGCCGTAGACAGGCGACCTGTGTCCGACCAAGGTGAGTGCGGCCCAGAGGCGCTGCAGCTGCTGTGAACTCTCGTGGAATGATGACGTTTTCGATGATACCTACTACCTTATATGAAAATTGGGAAATTTTGCGAAATTTATAAAATAGTCTTCCCATAAAATGTTCCCATAAATGTTAAAGTATATTTGTTACATACATTAGAAAAATTCTTAACAAAAAATCATCTAAAATAAAGCAATGGGGACAAACAAGCGTAGGCCAGAAAAAAGGTTAGCGCAGTGGTTGTCTGGCCCTCATCGGTGTCAACTGTCAACTCTACATATTTCCACACCGCCTCCTCTGGTGTGATGGTGACTGGCCGCGTCGTATATGTATACAGTGGCGTCACTTGTGCCGCACAAACCAGCCAACATCGTATGTCAGACGACGACGCCTGCGTGAAACCAAACATGACGACAAAAAAGAGCAATTAAACTTCGCAAAACGTACATCTTTTCAGATTGTCTATTCGTAAATCCAAAGCTACGAGACATCATTGCTCCTTTTTTCATTTGATTATACATAAACGGAATAAAACAATACACAAAATCATGAGTTGCCTCAGACTTGCCACCCACGTACAGCTGATTTATAAATCGAAGACGAGCTGGTGGCCCAAGTAATCGGCATGGTTCTGCATGTAATTGGATATGTGTCAAATTACACAAAGTGTAGTGTTTCAATAGCATTGCGTCTTACAGAAAACAGCATTTGCCTATCACATGTTAAAGACGTAAATGTCATATAGCTTCAGTCTAGATAGAAGTGCGTGTAAGCACCTTCAGATATGTGTTCAAATTAAGTGCTGGTTTTCAATGAACTTGAAATGAAGCGATACAAAATCGACATAGAGCAAACTTGGTTTAGATAAAAAAAAGAGGATATTTAGCCACTGTAGATGCCGAGTCGTTGTTCTCTTATGCGGGCCCAGTAGTCGGCATGTAATTCGGTGCATAATTCAAATACGCCTTTTATCTTAAACAAAGTAACGTAGGGACGCATTAGCAAAGAGCACGCAAATGACCGGTGGTACCTTGAAAAGTTCATAAGCCCTTGCACATAATTGAAATAATAAGCGAAACCATCTACCTTAGCGGCGTAATATAAATATACGACATTGTCAGAGAACATTGTCATCGATACATCAGATCACTATCTACACCACTTACATAATCTACTTAGAGTGCATGCTCAACAGCAATTCTGCTTACAAACCGGCCTTGTCCCCGGCCTTGTCCGTTATTTTGGCTGTGGTCAACTGCAGTCGAAATAAACGCCTGGGGCCAGGAAGGAAAGCTTCTTGACGGAAGCCAGCCCCTGACCTTAAGCCACCACTAACCGGTGTTGTTCAAAAGGTCAGAGGCAGGCACCTGGTGTCGACCCTGGCCTGGGTGGACCACGATATCTCAGACACTATTCACACTACGGTCCGGAGCAAGCTTTTCTGCAGCGACGAGCAGGCTAAACAAGATACCAGACGACCATACACATCACTGAGGCATATAGCCAGTCCTGGAGCAAAGCCAGCAACGAAAGCCGCCAAGCTGGAACAGAGGTGAACCAGCTGCTGACGTGTGTAGAAAGAAAGGTTACGATTGCATCCTTATTTTCTTTGCAACGGTTGCATTTTTCAAAGGGTCGCAAGGATTTCACAGACTGGCGAATATTTAATTTAAATCACAATTCCTGGATAGAATAAATGATTTGAAAATTTGTTTTCAAGTAAAAATAAGCAATAACAGACATTTATATATGATGTTCTAAGACAGCTGATGCCTGAAATCTTTCGATCATGGTACAAAAAATTCTCTTTGGATAGCGAAGTCAGCAGTTGGTTCACCTCATTCCTTGATTCATGCCATCGAGCGCTGCACACACAGCGGCGAGCTATACACGTACAGAGGCGGTAGCGCTGTGACAAAATTACCTGGGCGTCGGCTGGTCGGTACTGCACGGGGACACGACAGGAGGAGAAAGAAAAAGAGGGCAGACGTCAGTCATTGTTGGCGAAGTCTGAGCAGCGCGGGGCAGACCGCCAGTGCCACGCACAGGGCAGCAACTCATGGCTTAGCGAGGCTGAGAGCAACTTAGGGAAAATTAGCAAAACGCGCAGCCGCATGGTGGACAGCGGTGCGGACACAATTCTTTGTGGCCAACCAGGGCGCTAGTGTCTGAATTCAAACAGGTAACGAAAACAAAAAAGTAAAAAAGTGAGGCCAGTGGCGTAGAGAGAAAAGTGAAAGGCAGTTACGAGGTAGACAATTACCTTTCCCGCGACTCGGCCGGCACTTCAATGTTCTCCGGGTTGAGCCAGATGATGTCATCGATGAGATCCTCGAAGCCGGCTGCGGCCCGACATGTGAAGAATCCCTGCTTGCCGAGGTCGCGACGAATCTTGGCCTGCGACGGCAGGATTTCCAGTTTGACTTGCTCCTCCTGGGCAAGTGCAGCTGAAATGAGAAGAAGAAAGGTCAGGTAACAGCGAGAAACTCTGAGCAAGCTACGAGAGGGATATACTGGGAACGCTTATAAGAGTAAGACCCAGTCATTTTTACGAATAGCAGGCTCGTTAACACGCGATTTTAACATTCCACGGTTTCAACTCAACCGCCACCAGCGAGATGGATATCATAAGCGTGATTAAAGCCGACCCTAAAAATGCATCTACCAGGGAGTGGCATCACAATTTCTGTCGACGGTCTAATTAACCGCACTCTGTCACCATGGCGGCGCCCCTCACTGTCGTTAACACCGCCAACATCGGTGTACGTACATCCTGTCAGGCATGTTACACCATCCTGCTGCCGACAGGACAGCATCCCCTCCGACACCCGGAGTGTCACTACCCCTGTCGACAGGGCCCGCGGCGTCACCACCCCTGTCGGAGGCGACGAGCGAAGCCGTCATCGACGTGTCGGGAGGCCGATGACAGCGGCGGCATCGCGCTGGGGAGCGCGAACATGGCGGCGTCATGTCCAGGGAATCTGAACGGACCTCATGGCGACGAGAACGAGGTTCAGTTCCGTTCAGTTCAGTATATTTTGGTAACTAAGAACAAGAAACATCGGGAGATAATAATCGCGGATCGGCGCCGGAGGTCTGGGAGTGCCACATCACTTGGCAGGTCAAGTCACTACTTGGGTAGCGACGCGAAGCCTGGTGGCGACACATTTGCCATGTCATTTATCATGGCATTTGCCAGAGTCATGTGGCTTCCGCATACAAATAGTTGGTCAGGTTTGTCAAAACTTAGCCCTTGCCAAAATAATGCATATTTTTTGGCACTCCAAACATAACATTCGACCTAATTGTGTATTTGGTGAACTGGAGTAATGCAGCGATAACTTCAACATTCAACAAGGACGGATTCAGGCAGACAAATGAGGTGACAAGACATCAACATTTATTTTATAGGTGACCTTCAGTAGCACAAACAGTAAACACCGCATGCCTTGGATGCATCGTCGTCTACTATGTCGTCTAAACAGCTTGGGAGAACACCGAAGAACATCTGCATTCTACCAAGATGGGTCCATCGGTAGACATTCTACGTAAAGGTTAACTCGTTCACCTGATACCGCTCTCAATTCTCGAATGTCCGAGGGCCATCGGCAGACTGCTACCGGACGGTCTGACCCCTCTTATCGACAGTTACTGGCGCCATTGATGACATTGGTGGCCGTTAATGGAACCGCCAGCACGCTGATGGTCGCTTGTCACATAAACCGGTGATCAGGACTGATCCCAACCGGGAGAGCCAAGGGGATGTCATCAACCAAGAGGGGTGCAAGGGAGATAAGCATACACCTTGAATTATAAGTGGAAAACAATGGGAACGTTTTTGGTTATATTACTTTAAGTTGTAATATTACTTTAAGTTAAAGTAATATAACCAAAAACGTTCCCATTGTTTTCCACTTATAATTCAATTTGTCTATCTATATCAAGCATACACCTGCCGACCTTTCGCTGTATCTGAAATTGGGTTTAAGAGATCGATTCTCTCGCAGGTAAGCGGAACACGGAAATGGAACAGCGCACGTCATGTTAGTACTGCATTTTTAATCGGGCGGCCCAAACGCGATAGCGGAGCTCAGTTCGTCAGAGCCATCGCGAGCCTTGTTTGTATTTCATGTCTTTCCGAAATTAATGCACCATTAATTAATGGTGTTTTGTTGTTATCCGAAATCCATTAGCAGAGAACTCGCATGTCCATTAACCACATGAGATTAGCTCCAAAATGACAAGAATATTGTATCATGCAAAGTACTATCCAGCTCCCAAAATGAGAATAACTGGAATGGTTATGTCGAGATTTTTGCGAAAGTACAGCATGCTACGTACAGCATGCGCCATTTTATATACAGCCTTCTGTCAGCTACCAAACAATCACCATGCCATAACGAGAAGCTACTACCTTCTCAGTTAGTCAGCTACCATACAATCACCATACCCAGCTGAAAGACGATGCCAAGTAGGGGACTCATTTCTGCAGGAATGATGTAGCTTGGATGCTTCCCTAAGCTTCGCGGATCAGCAGACTTTGCACAGAAACTCAAGAACGACGTTACGCCCAGCTCTTTTAGCCGCGTTTGTCTCGCATGACGTCAGAGCGCGAATGTAGACACTGCCGAAGTTTTCCAAATAGCGACGATGTACAGCATTTCAAAGTTCCTCGACTTGTAGACTTTCTATGACCGCAGAAGTTCCGAGGCGTTCCCGGCTGACTAAAGGTGAGGCTGAGCCAACTGAACGAAAAGCTGGCCTCTTCGTTGACTTGTCGCCCGGAGGGTCGTGAAGCCGTCTCTATGCCACCGAACCTACCTTCGTTCTTCACCCCAGTCACGTGGGGATTTCGGCACTTCACTGGTGAGTGACAATCATTCAAAGGTCGCCAAAACCGTAGAACGTATAACACACCAGAGTATCTGATCACCCACTGCCAGTTCGATGTCGCACGGCTCTCCGATCAACGGAGTCCCTTATTGTATTATCCCCGATCAAGCACACGCACTGGTTCCAATTCAGGATTAGAAACACCTCAAACACATGTCCACTGCCAACCGGAATCCACTGTCTGGACTGAGCTGCTCAAGACCACTGGAGGTCACCACGTGGTCCTCGAGTCAATCGACACTGGATCGATTAACCACTCCCTGTCGAGACAGCAGACGAACGAAAACGCGAACGAATTCACGAAAGAAATCACAAACGTCTTCTCCCCTCAGCCAGCCACGTCCCCGCGGCTCAGATCAATCAAATCCGCTTCAGATTTCGCTCGACACCGTCGACTCGCCCACAATCCCATCGACGACGCAATGCACTCTCGGTGACGAGCGGCGGGCTCACGCACGCCCTGGGGACCGGTCGTGCCATCGACGGTCGACGCGAGACTGTGGCCGCGGGTGCGGCGTGTCGCTGGCGACGCCGAGACGCCTCATTAGTCTTCTGGCCTGACCTCGACATAACCCAATCTGTGGGCAATTTCGGCCGCCACCCGGGCGCCATATGGCACGCAGCTCGGCCGGAGTAACAATCACACCACAACGACTCTGCTCTCTTTCCTCCTTTGGCGAGAAGCAGTGACCGCACCCTCTTTCCATGCCTCTACAAAATCCGTGACTCGCCCTCCTCTCTTCTTCACAGAGAAAGAGATTATTTCTATCTTCGGCGAGAAAGTATGTGTGGCCATTCCCCGGACCACTGACATGGTGGTGAGCGAGAGGAGATGAGAAAAACGGAAGGACGTGACCATGGCCGAGAAGACAATTACAGGAATAGAAATAATGCAATATAGGATAGGGAGAAAGAGAAAGATGGGAAGGAAAAGAGGGAGAGTGAGCGTCAGCAAGGTCAAGGGTCAGAGTGGAGAGAGAGAGAGAGAGAGAGAGAGAGAGAGAGAGAGAGAGAGAGAGAGAGAGAGAGAGAGAGAGAGAGAGAGAGAGAGAGAGAGAGAGAGAGAGAGAGAGAGAGAGAGAGAGAGAGAGAGAGAGAGAGAGAGAGAGAGAGAGAGAGAGGACTGTCCTAGTTAGAGGATCGTTTGACCCAGAAAGTCTTACAGATCCTTGGGCCACTTTCAAAACTTTATGCATGCCAAAGACAAAGACATAAAATGACCATAAAAACACAATAGTTTCTTAAGCAACTTTGTTTATGCTGCGATAAATCGAAAAGGTTTACTAGTCAATGGCCACATGTGTATCATAAAAAGCTAAAAATAACGCAGCAGTTACGTCTGTCTATCGAAACAAACCTCTCTGCAGCCATTGTGATGAAATATTTTATCAGTACTGCTGCAGATCAGTCGTTGATGATAACGGCTTACCCATCAGGCATCAACTACTGGCTGGAAGTAGCTCACCCATCATCATATACGATCATATAGATCAATAACGGGTGGCGATCAAAGAAAGCATAGACAATAGACATTGTACTGGCTTGAAGATAAGCTGACACGACAAAAAAGTACAACCAGGTGCTAAAACACGGCACAGCTGGAAACGGCGAACGAAAACAACGCATCAATGTGACAGCAGAGTTGGAATGGAATTGGAATGATGTGACTTCATTCATCATGTTGGGTTCTGAGAAGGCATTCAGATCAGCACAGACTTGCCGGGCCTCAGTCGCTGTTGGTATGCACGGTAGGTGCTGACTGGCGACAACTATCAACCAGCGGCACACTGGGACCCAAAAAAGCTAGGGGATGGCATGGGAAAGTTTCCAGTCGGCGCTCAATGCACGTTCGATAGAAACGGCCGGATGGTCAGGTCGTTGAAAGCGCCAGACATAATTATAGGCAAACATCCGTTATGATATGATGCACGTAATGGCTTATTGCATTTCTTCATGCACGCAAGTCATCGTGCAATCATGGTACATCGAATAAACGAGGTTAAATGTCACATTTACTCTGGTGGACATGGACCAGTTGCTGTTCATATTGTAGAAAATCACCTACTATAGGTTCAGGTCCGCTGACAACATGCGAACACCGACGTCTCTTTTGCTTTCTTTGGTCGTTCAATGCAATTCCGAATTTACCCATTTAACGTTCCTAACTAAGTGTTATTCCACCTTTTCGCCTACATCACTAATTGTGATGCAGATGAGATAGCCATCACAAAGCGTTTCATCCGGCATCCTTTTGTTACACCGCCCGGTGAATTGCGAGCATGTAGCATGTCACCCCCACAAACAACCTTTGGTCGACACCGTGCCGGCGATCAAATGACGCCAATGACGCATTTATGACGTCACGCCCGGCAGTCGGACGAAAGGGGTGACCCCGCAGCCTTGGTGCGGCCGCACCAGGCGGCGCCGCGGGGTCATATCAATCCGATCGGTCGGCGGCTCTTCCGGCGACAACAGCCGCCATCCGGCCGGCGCGGCATTGTGGGGTCGTCACCGGACCGGGCGCCGACGTTCCGACCGGTACGGACGCGTGAGT